CGTCTTGGAGATCCAGGGAGAAACGATCAGTCCAAGTGAGGTGGTAACCTACCTTGGCGTAAGATTCTGAAGAAAGTTCAACCCTCTGAAGGTCGCTACGGATCTATCAGATCCGCTTCAAAAAATCAATTTTTGATAAAAAATTCCAAATTTCTGATTGTACAGAAAGAAAAATTTATAAGGTGATATTTTTAAATATATTTATTGATTGAAAAACTCAAATACGTAATTTAAACAAATATATTAAAATTCAATCAATACATTGAAAAATTAGAAACTTGAAAATGAAATTCTGTGTACCATTAAATACAACACACAAAAACCACTGAACACTGGGAACAATTATATAAGAATTAAATTATATTAAGAAATAATTAATACAAAAATCGTTATTCGAGTCGAATGTCTTTTACGCCATTTCGTCTGTAGAATTAATAATCCAGATATCAATTAGTCAAAGAAGCTGATTTGGGTTGAAAGTTAGGAGAGTGATAAAAAAAAAATATATATAATATATATAGCAAAAATGACGAGAAAAAAATAAAAATAAAGAAAAAGTATTGGATCTGAGAAGAGATTCAATTCCTATTTTTAATAAACAAATACAGTGACAGTAAAAATGATTGCACCAAAATAATAAACAAATAAAATATATAATATTAAAAGGAAACATAAATTAAATACAACAAATAGAAAATACTTACATATTAGGTTGCTAGGGATCTCACAGATCCAACCTATGTTTTATTATAAACATTTAATGTAACACAGACCCCTCCGATACTAGACTACTCGTATATGACTTCAAGAGCCAGGAGAATACCTGGAGGAAAGGTCTACTACTCAAAAAAGACATATAACCAAATCATCCAAAAGACCGCTCAGCGAATCTCTCAAATCCGGTACGACTTTCCTAGTGATAATATAACGCCTCACTTGGACTACTTGGCAAGCAGAGTAATAGTCATCCTAAATGGTCTAAGTCGTTTCGGCGGTGCTTAGATTTCCAAAGACTAAGGCTACCTAAAATACAAAGGAATGGTCCTGGGAATATTAAGGTATGCATCCCCCTCATGGTACGTGATCTTTCCCAAATTTTATCAAATACGCCTACAAGCGAGAAGGCTAGACAGGGATTGACCTTCGAGTGAGGATTGAGGAACGGTCTAATAGATGGAAATCAACATGAGGAGAAGCTAATGTCGAAGAATGGAAGAGGCGGTGAGTCACCGCCACTAAGGGGGTTACCCTAAGGAAGTATTTCCCCACCGTCCGATCCCGATTAGCAGCAAGATGGATCAAACGAGACTATCGGGTCTCTCAATTCCTCACTGGTGATGGGTACTTTCCTGCCTAGTTACGTAGTCTTGATATTGATTACCTATGCTCCACTTGTGGTCTCCCGGAAACTGCCGAACAGGTAATCACCAACTGCACTGCGTTTGAGGCACTGAGGACAACGCTAATGAGAAACATAGGTATCTACAGCCACAACGAAGGAGATTTCGAGGACCTCTACTCGAGGCGGCAGATAATACCTCATACTACAAGAAATTCGTGTGTGGGCGGAAGGAAATTATAGGTGCACTCCATTTTAATATGGGAGAAGGAAAAGACTTCCACAATCTCAACCTAGGATGACTCTTGGATAGACATCAAGAAGAAAAAGGAATATAAAATTTTTGTATACAATAAAATGGAAGCCCGTATTGTCGAAAGAAAAGGAAGGGAGAGGGCAATAAATATTGTAGAAGGAAATTAGTCAACTGTTCTACATAAGTGGACTTGAATTGGTCCACTCGAATACATTTAATGCTCGAACCACGTCCTGATGATGAGCCACATGTTTGGACTGAAACGTCGGCATTAATAAAAACTTTATAATGACTCCGACCTGAATATTAATCACTCATAATGAATATTGTAATATATTTTTTTTTTAAATTGGGAGTGATCATTTATTAAATTGGACCTACAGTCAGGAGAGTTAGGAGTTAGGAGAAAATAATTAATGAAAAAGGTCAAAACTAGAAACTTATTAATTAAGTACACATTAAGCCAAATAATTATGAAATCTCTTCGGAGTAGTTAAATTATAGGGACATTTTAATTCAAATCAGAAATACTAAACACATTAAATTAATAATATAAAATTAAAAGCATACTAAAATGTATATTACAATTGAGTGCAATAAATTCAACGTTAGTACAGCTAAATGCTCTTCCATAGCCAACAAATGCACGCAGGCGCACACCTATATTATTTGTAATATTTTTTTATATGTTCACATATTAGGACAATGTAAAATTATGAAAAATAAAAATATTCCGAAATATGTAATATTTCAACATTTAAATATTTTAAAAACCAGGTATAGTCACAAAAAAAAATTATCTAAGCAATATATCGACTTGAGTGATTTAAATGAGTTATCAGAAATAGAAAAGAAAGATTAATTAACCAGAAATTAATTACTTCGGCTTCTATGACAAGAAATCCAATTTCAAACCATACCAATTTAAAATATCTTTCTCGGAAGCTCTGAAAATACAGCTTTAAAGAAATATTTTCCTTGTTTTTCTCTTGCTTACTTAAAATTAATTCCAAGATTAAAATTTATTCATCATCATTTATTAATTCCAAGTAGTGAGGTCTTATTGCTTTGTATTTTAAACTTAATCTGTTCCAAATTAATAATCATAAAAACAGAAACAGAAATACCAACAAGTTATACGATTTGTGAGGTATAACTTGAGAAATGTACTCAGATAAGTATTACTTTCAATTACCTATATATGAAATATACAGGTTGTACCGCGAGTAGAGGGAACTTTTTATAGAAGTGTTTGCAGATCTCAAGAGCTGCAAAAGTTTTCATATAAGTAATGGGTGAATTTTCAGTTGGGCCAAATTTTTCTTTATGCGACATGTTTTTTATTGAATGGAAAGCAATAACTTAAGAAAATTTTAATTGACATAATTAATAATTGCTTAATTGCAAACAAGATGAAATTTACTTAAAATTAAAATGATTTTATCATTGTTAAAACCATTTACAGAGGATTTTTAAGCGGCTGAACTAAGCTAAGTTCTGTTTTTAGAAAAATTGTAAATCATTCGCAATTTTTTTATTTATCATCATTCAACTATACTACAGTTTCCCAACTTTAAACAAAAAACTTCATCGTTTAATAAGCTTCAAATTCGTATTAATTAAGTTGAGGTTTATTAAGGAAAAAATGTGAAATTAAGCTCAAGTTTTGTAAAATAAAAAAATGATATTTTTTATCCTGTCAAGTAAAGTACCCTTTGCTTTCAGTAGCAAGTAAAGTAGCCTTTGCAACAATTAATTTCAATCCTTTTATTTCTTGTTTTCTATGATCTGGGGTGTATTTTAATAAGCCTAATTGCCTAAACACATTCTTTATTAATAAAAAAAAAAAAATTTGAAAATACTGATTTTTCAAATATTTTTCTGATATAACCTTCAGATCTTTCTTAAGTTCAGTACAAATTACTGTCGGTGCTGGATTCACATAGCTCATGTGTTTTTACGATGGAAATAGCGATAAGTTTTGGAACTTCTTAAACTTGAAGGAACTCGATCCCGTGACACGTGGTGTACCTACCGCAGGTTTCTCGACCAAGGGTTCTCCGAAAAATTACTCAGCCATAAAATCATTTTTAAGTGATCGATCTGTGGCAATGAGAGTTCTAAACTTCCTGGTTCTATTCATTTCGCATGCACGTGTGGGGTTCCTCAAGCGATAGTGCCATATATTATCAATATTATTACCACATAATCAGTTGAGTTACTTTTTTTTTTTATTTAAACGTATTGTACGTCAGAGCCAGGTTAAAGTAATCGACCTGAATATTTATTGTAATAATTTAAAACATGAAAGCCTCAAAAATTATATGCGTTAAGATTCCCCAAGATTACCTTCACAATTGTACAAATCGCCTGTTTGTTAAATTAAATTTTAATTTTAGTTTTACACCTTAAGTTCAATAATGTTAATTGGAAAACAAGCCAGTTCCAATAACAGATAATCAATAAGTTAAATAAACGAAAATGACCAAAATATAATGTACCGCTTTAATTTTTTTTTTAATATTATACTTTATTGAGAAAAAAATATATACTTTACTTAAAAATTAAATGTATAAAATATTATGATATAACCAGTTCTAATATACGGACCGCTCTGAAGCAATTTCGATTTAGAATCAATGTGCTAACCCATGGAAGAAAGGAAGCAATAAAGAACTGCTTACAGAAACTGGTCAATCAATATCTCATTGCATGAAGGCAAGGAGGTTAAGAGGGTAGCTCAGTACTTTAAAGTAGCTCAGAACAATTCATCAGGAAGTCTCTACATAACAATGAAAGCCTCAAACGCAGGGAAGAGACGACATGTAAGGCAAAAAATCAAATCAATAGATCGAATCCACTAAGGTTCTGTACAGTTGCATGCAGCTAACAGAAGAGCAACAGCCCAAGATAGAGTTGGGAAAAGGCTGATAAAGATAAAAAAAAGAACTACAGTCTGAAATGCCCACACAACAAAAAAAAAAAAAAAAAAAAAAAAACGGAATTGAACTCTTTAAAATGCAAATTTACAGGAACAGCAGAATATTCAGAAATTTGTATCAATAAGAGATAAAATAGTTGAAAAGAACTAGGGTTTTAACAAATAAACAATTTTTTTCACAAAAGTTCTACATTATTTTTATTCTTCACAGCGACGTTTTAGCACTTAGGCCATTTTCAAGGGATGAAACCTTCAACGAATAAGAAAATCATGAAGTGTAATTAGGCTGATGATTTTTTTTATTTCTTTCCCATGAATGTTGTGATCAAAATGAGTGTTTTAATTGTTATAATAATGTTATGTCCTAACCCACAAGTATAAAAATATATCTTTAGTTGAACATATTTTTTTAATTTTGAAAATATAATTAACAATTAAATTTATAAAACAATGGTATGTTACAGGGAGAAGAGCCAAACTTCTAGTTGTTATCGCATGGGCCGTCAGTGCTATATTCTCTTTACCCATCTTGGTTCTCTATGAAGAAAAGCTTGTTCAAGGTAATTTCAAAAATAGTTTTCCAGTTTTTGAAAATACTAGTAGATATAAAAATATAATTAATTACCTCTGGAGATGTTGAAAATCAAACATAGAATAACGAAAATTTTAAATTTATATCACATATTTAATCTGTATTTATGTAAATAGAGTTTAATTTATATAAATTATATTATATATCAGAAATAGATTTAAGAAACCACAGTGGAATCTTTGTTACAGAAACATCTTTATAAAAATACTAAATTTGTTAAGAAACCAAGCAGAAATAACGACTGAAATGATCTATATGAATTTATTATTATTTTTTTTTTTGGACCTCAACCCTTACAGGATATATATCGTTATGAATCAGGGAAATCAATGATAATAAGTGCCTTTCAGTTGACAGAATGAATTTAGAATCAGTTTGAGTAATGTCATTTTAGTGAAATTTCTAGTTGAAAAATTTATATCTCTACAGACATTGGGGTGAGTTGAGTTGATTCCAAAAGAGTATGTAATTGCAGTGTTGAAATATAGAACTGTGAATAAAGGCATAATAAATGTTTCCACTAGGAACATCACTAAAATTAATAATGAATAAACGTTTAATTTGGAGTTAGACATTTTGTCAAGTGAAAGGTTCATATATTTACTATCAGATATTGACAATTATAGACTTAGAATAATGTAAAAGAGAGTCGCTCAGAAATTGCCATGGCAAGTTCTTGAGAATTTAGTCTTAATAATTACCTTTTAAGCATAATAATGTGATAAATAAGTGGTCTCATATCAAATGCTGTCATCTCTCACCAAATTCAAAATCCATTTTTTAATTGATTATAGCATTTTCTCACTCAAAATCGCAAATATATTAAATTCAGCTTTAAACTAAACAGGTCGTTTCAAAATAGAACATCTAATGTGAAATTTAAACAAGAATTAAACGAAATGCAAATATAATTGTCGGATTTTGATCACGTGATTCAATATTTAGTATTGGTTGCCATAAACTTCGTAAAGAGAAACAAAACCAATAGACGTATTTATAATATTTAAATGAAAAGCGGATTCTCTAAATATAAATTGAAAAAAAAAAAAAAGTTGTAAGACTTCTCTTCTAATAAACTTATAAATACTAAAGAACTTCCCCAGTTCAGAAACAAAATACTAAAAAACAATTGACAGAAGAAGCCTAGCTCCATTTTAAAATTTCCAAATTCAAGCTAGTAATTTTTTGAAAAATTAAGTTGGGAAACGTAATTATATCAGGAGAACAGGCTTAAAACATTGATACAGGATTAAAGAGTTAAAACTTTAGATCCAATTGAAGATCTCAACTCATTAACCTAAACGTAATACCCTCAAGCATCCCACTCAAAAAAGATAAAGTTCATTGCGTAGGCATTTTGGTTTTATTACATCATTTAGGAGAATATTAGAACGGTAGCAAGTTTTATTCCGAATTCCTGGTCTCTCGAAATTACAGAATAGTAGTATAAATAAAGATTTTGATAGAGATCTAGTGTTGTTATCGATGTTATTTTGTATATCTAAAGTTGGTACATATGTAGTTGAATACAAATTTTGCATTTAACACTTTTAATTTTATTTTATAAAAAAACTATAAGATCGTTAATATTTCCATAACGGACACCTCTATTTTCAAAGATGAATATGAATTATTTTTTAAATCATATTGATATCACAAACTCATCACAGAATTGATTAAGCAATGTGCTTTCATGAATGCTTGAAGATTTTGTATTCCCTCTTTAAAGATAATTAATTACTATTACAATCTCCAGAGTGTAGGATAGAAATTATTTTATATTCGATACTTTACGTTCGTTTCGACGATATCTCTATCATTAAATACTTCTTTTTGTTTTTCTTTCTTATCATTTTTCTTATTGTGTTCTATAACGATATTTTACATGATCATTGAAAATTGTAGGTCAGCTGCAATGCTGGATCGAGCTGCCATACCAGTGGCAATGGCAACTCTACATGACTGTCGTCTCGGTAGCCCTATTCTTCATACCCGCAATAATAATTACAGCCTGCTACACAGTCATAGTGTCTACCATCTGGAGGAAAGGGAGTACTATCATAGTCATCAAGAGGTCATACAAAGGCATGCTAATTTTTCTTTAATATAGCACATTTTTTTATTCAATTAAATTTTTTGTTTAATTGCATAATCTTCGCAATTGTAATTATCATTCAATGTGGACGAACCGAGAGTGTGGCCTACATCTGTATATATAAAAATGAATGTATGTCTGTCTGTCCGTCCTTAGTGCATTACTAAACCATTCAACCTATAGCCATGAAACTTTGGGAAGTTGTTCCGTACACTCCTGGGAAGGTTTCTGGCATAGTATTTCTGTCTTACGATAATGTTATATATGTAAAAAAAATTAAAATGTAAATGTTTTTCTGTTCAAAGCCGCAAAAAATGTGTCGCTATAAACTGAAGTGCCAAAACGGCTTTACCGATTTTAACGAAACTTGGCTAAAGTCTTCCCCTTGAAACCCTTTTAATTTAGGTTACGATGAATTCAATATTTTATTTGACGATAACTAAAAAAGTACACAATTTTTAATTGATAATACCCATATTTATATGAAAGATTCCTGATTTGCAGACAAAATAAAAAAGATTTCATCGAAATTGGACGGTTCGTTGTAGAATTATTGAGTTTTAAACATTTACTGCTTTCTCTTCAGAAATGGCCGTTTCCTTTTGCTTCCTCACTACCGAACGTCGACAATCATTTTTTTTTTGTTTTTATTGATTAATCAAAAATTTTATAATTACTACAGTAATTGAAATTATCATTTGAAGAATTTATATGATTCTCCTTATGTAGGTCAATGCTATTATACGTTTTTTTAATTAATTTTTTAATTTAGTTTTATAAATTCAACTCAGATTGTTTCTGATGATTATGAATGACGGCATATTTACTTAGATGATTATGAATTTTCAATTTGAATCATGAGAAAAAAAAAACAATTAGAATTAGTTTCAATTGAAGCCATTTTACAGACAAATTTGTTTCCCAACTTTTTAAAAATGACAGATGTCCTTTGCTACTAATCTACTCATATGTGCTTTCTATTTTCTTTCTTTTTCATTTTGCCAGGCTAAGCCACAGCAAAGCTAGTAGTAAATATGTAAGGGCAGAGCGTCCACCACTAAAAGCACTAACGGACCACAAATCAGCAAAAATAAACGATGATATCAAGTAACAACACGGTTATTTTATTTTATACTTATTTTTTTATTTAAGAAGAATTTATGACAATTAACAATAGAAGAGACATTTTACTGGCGTGAAATGATATGAAATAAATAAATTGCAGAGTTATGTAACCTAAATATTAAAATAAGTAAACAAATAAAATTATAGAGACATAAAAATAGTTTTATTAATTACCAGTTCAATTTCATTAATTAATGAGAACTGTTACATATTTATTTATTTTAGTTACATATTGGCAATGAAAAGCAACATAAATAATGTACAGATGAGTAAAATGAATCTGATAATACTATACTGAAAAAAATGTAATTGTTACATGTCGTCGTCGATGTAAAAGTAACGAAAGAATCAACTGCTTAATTCAATTCATTTTTTAAAGAATTTTCCACATCTTAACATTCATGAACAAACCTTACCATCTTCTTCATTAACGAGTTCTGATTCATTTCTTATATTGCTGGAGAAACTGACAAACGAAGCGGGTAGGATCTGAACAAAAATAGCACCATTAAAAAGGAGACCATTATACCGTGAATACGTCAAAGATCTGAAGTGAAGGAGTTGGCATTATTAACAAAGGGTTGGGAGGGCGCAACAATAGCTCAGAAGTGGAGGGTTTCTTTCTTTTAACGCTATTAAAAGACGTCTAGACCAAAATGAACCCGTGGAATAGATGATTGATTATTAACTAGGTCGGATGGAATCGGAAAAGCAATTTCTGATTTTTTTTTTTTAATTTAAAAACTTTTTTTTAATATGCTAATTACGCGTCATTGGTTCTTTTTTGGTTGACCCTTGCTCTAGCCTGGTTTTGTGTATCGCTAGCGTAAATATTTCCTTCTGAGGAACACCAACACACCATTTTTCCTTAATTAGAAATTAAGCGAGATCCTACCCAAATCAAATCCTTGTACAACCATGGATCATGAAACTACACGATTTTTAAAATAATCAACGACTTTTTAAATGTTTTATTAAGTGATTCAAGTCACTTAATCACTTACATACTACTTTCCACGTACTTTCACTGCGGACTTCAATTTCTGAAAGTATTTTTATACATCATACAGATGCTATTTTAAAACAAATTAATATTTTTTTTAATAACAATATATAACGAATTGAATTTTAAGTAAGGTAATATCCTACGACCCTCCCATAGTTAAAACAACTCTTCCTGATTTTATTAATTTATTTTTTGTGGGAGCGTCATTGTTAAAATTTGCATACATAATTACCTCAAGATATGAGATTACAAACAAGTAAATAAAACTAAACCTTCAATCGATAACCTTACTTAACCAACGGAGTTGAGAAGTTAAAAATATTAAATTAGGTACGATCAATTGAGATAACTTCGGCGAAAATAGATTTTTAGATACTGCGCATAAAAGTTTTTTGGTCAAAGTTGCAAGAAAGAACTTAAGTTACCACAATTATAGTAACTGTGTTTGAAGCGGATAGGCGAAATGTGTAGTTGATTTTGTATTCAACATTTCTAAAGAAAAGAAAGGCACCTCACCATGAATTGATCATTAATCTATTAGTGATATATAAATATAGATAAAACGTGAAGTGATAGTTTGTAGCCCGTTTCAGCCATAAAAAGAAGACAATGGAGCAGCAGATTTTTTTTTCAAAATTTAGTCTCTTTTGTAAAAACATGTTGTGCCTGCAACTATTTTATATTTTATTAGCCTGGTTAAAAAAAAAAAAGTAATTTTAGACTTAGTATCAGATAGTTTTCTAGGATTTGTTTTATAATAAATTCCTTTCCTTCCGTTATGTTATATTTTCTAATATACTTAATTATCTAATCCATTCTACCAAAATCGGAACAACGGTCTTGAAGAAAGAAAATATATGTTTGCATTGGGAATAATATATATATATATTTTTTTTTAATATCTCGTACTGAATCGATCTGTTGAAAGATACTTTTTTTTAGTTTGTTTAGGAAAAATATATTTTTTTAAAGATTTCTATATCAAAAAGAATTACAGCAAAAATGTAGCGATTTTTCAAAATGGTGAGGCCTGCAATAGAATGTTCTGTATTTTTTTTAAAAAATTATACGGACCAATGTTTGTACACTGAAACAAAAAAGAGGTATGATAATCCCAATCCCCAATAATACCTATATATCCAATAATCCCTGTCCATCCCGATATCTTCCTGGCAAAATTTGCTGATGACACCGCCATCCTATCATCCAAATCAGATCCCGAAATAGCATCTTTAAATCTGCATATACACCTCTCCCCGATTGAGCACTGGTGTAATAAATAGCGCATCAAAGTAAATGAATCCAAATGTAAACACATTACCTTGACGCTCCAGCGCAGATCCTGTCCACCAGTCCACTTAAATTCCATCCAGCTTCCTTTTTCAGAAACTGTCCGATATCTTGGCTTTCTCTTGTACCGAACACAAACGTGGAACCCACATACTAGACTTAAAAGACAAGAACTTAATTGACGATACGGGAAATTATACATACTACGGTATAACTGTGAAAGACAACTGATTGAAAATTTCAACTTTCTATTGACAAACAATTACTGATCTACAAGACAACCCTGAAACCTAGGACTTGAACTTTGGGTGACAGCAAAGTTTCCAACATCAAACATATCCAATCCTATCAGTCCAAAGTCCTCCGAAAAATAGTCGATGCTCCGTTGTATGTACCCAACAAAACCCTACATTATGATATTAGGCAGTGGCCCTGATAGTCAGTCAGTGGGCCAGACCCCCCTATCGTGCACCCTCTCCCACATCCCTATAAATTGCATATCGTTGTGTTCCTTGTAACTATTTATTAAAAAAAAGCCAATGTTCCCACAAAAAAAAGTGAACGCACTGCCCCAAAATGGCGTCCAATGATTGACGACTTTGACTTTAGTTAGTTTTTTGGTCACAGAGAATCAGCACTAGGCTTAATTTCCTCATAGTTGGTCTTTTATTAACGCTGAATAGTCAGAGAATAACAAGACATTGGCCTAGGCAATAAAAAACACTAATAAATTCAGTTAAAAAAATTGAATTTATTAGCATTTTTTGTTGCCTAAGCGAAATATTTTTTAATATTTGTTCATGTCTTATTATTCTCTGACAATTCAGTTTTAATAAAAGACCAACTATGAGGAAATTAAGCACAGTGCTGATTCCCAGTGACCAAAAAACTAACTAAAGTCAAAGTCGTCAATCTACCATCTTTGGGCGCTATTTTGGGGCAGTGCGTTCACTTTTTTTTGTGGGAACATTGGCTTTTTTTTTAATAAATAGTTCCAAGGAACACAATGATATGCAATTTATAGGGATGTGGGGGAAGGGGGGGGGTGCACGATAGGGGGCTCTGGCACACCGTGTAAGAGATATTTTGTAGTGTATATCGTGGAGTACTGGCAAAGACCAGATTCACCACTCAAGACATGAGTGTGTGTGGCAAAGCGCTCTCGCTCAAACTCCACCGGCTTTAGCAGCAGTGACACGGTTGAGATAGTAGCGCAGAGATCTCTTGGAGTCCTGCTAGTTAGCAAATACCAACTTTTTAATAGCATTCCAATATTTTTCAACAGATTTATTTAATAAGCCCTTACTGTCCAGAAGTATATTTTAATTTTTGCATATTTTTTAAAATATCTAAAGTAACGGACAACTTGAAATTGATTTAATAAATAAGAGTATTCATTCATAAGGTTGTGGGAAAATATTTTAATTCACTTCTGTAAATTTAAGTGTATTCATTTTAATAAACATTAATACAGCCGTATTCACAAATAAAACTGTAAATGCAGTTGTATTAACTTTTAAAGTGGTGTATTTACAGCTGTGAATACGTATCATCTGGATTCACGTTTCT